TAGAGAAAGTAATTTGCCGAGGTACCTTCATAAAATTAGTAAGTGGCAAAGTGTTGAGCAGATTGGCTTGACTCTAAAATCCATGCTTTAACCACGATACCACCAATAAATTAAATTAACAAAATGTTATCTTTAAATAGGCTTCTTAATCATTAAGAGCTCAAATTGTCTTAAATATACCCAGACAACAGTGTACCTGTGAATAAATTTAATGCTTACAACAAAAATATAACTGGTCAACCTAATCAAATTATTTGTCTTTTTCATACCCAATATATAATATAGGTCAGTAAAATCATAATAGTTGATTTATTTACTCAAATTTTTTGGAATTTCTTCCTGTTTGCCAGTCACCAAGAACACAATGTTAAACAGAATGTTAAATAGAGGTCTCTGACCTCTTGAATTTACTGGCTATTGAGAGAAACAAATATTAACTAGAGAAGCATACAGATATTTAAATAACTGCACATTGTTATGAGCACTGTGAGAGACAAGTATGTGTTATGAGAGAATAACCAGAAAAACCAATATTGATTGGGCTCTCAGGAAGGTTTCTAATCTGCAACTTGAAGGATGCACAATAAGTAGTTAGGCTAAAAGTAAAGAGGAGGAGGTGTTCCAGGCAGAGGACAGACTTATCACCAAGGCTCTGGGCAAGAAAAGAGTTTGGCTCTTTCTAGACCAGTGACCCCCGAGTAGGGAACCCAGGAAGGAAATAGGAAATGAAGCTGGAAAAGAAAAATATACACTATCAGAAGTTTGGATTTTACCTTACGTGCAATAGAAACCCGTTAAAGGATTCTCAACAGTATAGTTTTAGAACCTGATTTACCATTTTTAAAAGCTCATTCTGGCTGCTGTGTACAGAATGAATGTTAGGAGGACAAGAATGGAAGAGGGAGACCAATTAGGAAGTTTTACTAGTCATCCAAGCAAAAAAATGGCAGTGACTAGGCCTAACGTGGCAGCAGTGGGACCTGGAGAGATGTGGATAGGATACACATTTAGATAGTATACACATTTAGATTATTAGATTTCTGATGAATTTAATCTGGGAGAGGATGGGGAAGGTGTGGGACAAGGTGGGATCAAAGTCCTAGGTTTCTGAATTGAGTAACTGGGCAGATGGAGGTGTAGAATAACATGAATATAAGAGTAAAAGAGGGCGGAAGTGAATGGATATTATCTAGAGCAGCGCTTCTCATTTAATGTGTATGTGAATCACCTGATGAATCTTGTTAACATGCAGATTCTGATTCAGTAGATCTGAGGAGGGGCCAGAGACATTGCATTTCTAGGAGCTCACAAATAATAATGCTGTTGGTCCACAGATCACATTTTGAGTAGCAAGGCTTTACTCTAGCAACTTTATTTTATACACACAAAGTTATAACCTTCAGCCAGATTTTTCTTTTTCTTTTTTTTTAATTTATTAGTTTTTAGGTGAGGCAACCCTTGTTTGACCTCACAGACTGCATGGACCTAGTCAGCTTACAATCTCTTATTTTTTAATTTTTTATGCCTACAGCACCTGGTCTTCCTAGGTGGTCTCCTATCCAAGTACTAACCAGGCCTGACCCTGCTTAGCTTCCGAGATCAGATGGGATCGGGCTTGTTCAGGGTAGCATGGCCGTAGACTCAGATTTCTTTTTAAAAACCCTTTTTCTTTAATCAGCCTGATTTCCTAAAGAAAGGATATTTTAATTACAAAAAAAAAATGAGCATAATTTAAAAATAAATTTCTGTAATAGGAAGAGATTTAATTTTAGAAAAAGTACTTCACCCTTAGTTTGTTCATTTGGCCAAAGATGAAGTGAAATATTTATTATGAACTGACTTTGAATAGCCACTGATCTAAACGAAATAACTTATTGATGAATATTTTTCGTTTAAACTAGTTGTCATCACCGTCACTATTTCATACTTTAAAAAAGTCAAAAATCAATCATTATTTATCATGAACATCCAGCCACTAGAATCAAACTAATATTGTTCTTGACTTCTAAGTACTTTCAGTATATCTTTTTCAAATCATTAGAATCATAGCAAATTTACACCAAGTAGAACTACAGAAAGAAAATAAGTGCTGTTTTGGCACATTTATATAAGTTGATGTAAAAATTAGCTCTCTTCATTTTATTGAATGTTTTTGATGAGATTTACTTTAGGTCAGATATAAGTGTATTCTAAATTATCAGAGAAAAGCTAGTATCTTGGCAACTTTAAACACTGACTAGAGAGCAAGTAAATGGTCAGTGAGAAGAGTAGTACTGAATTTTAGAAGGATGAGAAGAAGCGAGTATAATTTAAATACATGAAATAGCAAGGTGACAAAAATTGTTCAATAAATTCCAACTAATTTGTAAGGGCTTTATGGGCAGGATCGATATGTTATACATTTGGAATTCCCATAATGCCTAGCAATATGCAGGGTATGCAATAATTAGAAGAAATGAATATAAAACCTGAAAGAATAATAACAGCTAATTACAAAATGATGTTTCACTTGGTAAAATTTCAGTTAAGTGAAGGGCATGGGAGCCAGCAGTAATAATTAACACCTTTCTCTTGTAGAGTCAATTTACAATTTAATGAGGTAGTCAATATTAGTGTCTATGTTTTAAGGATGCAAAACTAAGCTTCATAGAAACTAAGTGATGAAAAACTAGAAACAGCTAATGAAGAAGAAAAACAATCATTTCTAATCCAATTAGTCTCTAAAGAATAGCCATAAATTGAGATATGTCAAGTCAAACCTATATATATAATGAGATTCTGTTCTTAGAAGCCCATATGAATATAGCTATTAATATTAATGACTACCATACAGTATAATTTTAAGTGTCAGTCATTGTGATGAGCACCTCATTCAAATTAACTAATTTAATCTTCATTATCATGGGATAAAAAAATTTTATCTTCAATTTACAATGAAGAAACCTAGGCACTAGAGCTGGAATTGGATTTCTGATGTGACTTCTGACGTGTCTATGCTATACTGTGAAAATACAAAAGTAATCATAAAATCAATAAAGATAAAACAAACCACAAATGTGTAACACTAAAGACAATATGAGAACTGCTTTGTAAATATGGAAGGTTTTTTCCATGTAAACACTGAATTTTAAGACTATATACTTAAAGTCTTATTATAAACTGATTATAAAGTTAAAAAAAGATGAATTTCATCAACACATTAAAAATAATTTACTTTTGAATAATGAAAAAAATAAGCAAAGAAATTCTTAAACTTAAATTAGCATCTTAAACCCAAAATGAATATTACATATACCAAACCTCATCACATTGCACACTTTAAATATGTGCAGTTTATTGTATGTCAGTTATATCTCCATAAAGCTGGAAAAAAAAAACAGGAAAAAATTACCATTTGGTTAGGTCCTGTGGAAAATGTTTTTATAAAATATTAAGCAGAAACAGTGACCTGATTTTTTTTTAAGTACCACTGTAATTCAGTGGGTTAGAAATGGTCTTATCAATGTATAGAGCTAGGTCAAATAGAAAACCATAGAGAAAAAATAAAACAAGATTAAAAAAATTATTTGTACCTGGACTATGGACAAAATGTGAAAATATCTCCACGACTCTGTGTAGGCAAAAAATAAACATAGCCCATAAAAGAAAATTAATTGGACTTCATTAAAATTAAGAATTTCTGAGATTCAAATATACATGCAAGTGACAGACTAAAAAGAAAATATTTGCAATACATGTGTCTGGCAACGGACTCATATCCAGACTATATAAAAACTTCCTACAAATAAGAAAATGACTGATAAACCTTCTTGGACAAAACACTTTAATAGGCACTTCATTGAAGAAGATATTCAGACAGCCAATAAGCAGATAAAAAATTGTTCGACAACATTAATTATCAAGGAAATGCAAATTAACAATCACGACGAAAAATTAATACAACCTCACCAGAATAGCTAAAATTTAAACAGATGAAAATACTGTGTGTTTGCAAAAATGTAGAACTGAAAATGTCACACATTGCTGACTGGGGTGTAAATTGATCTACTTTAGAAAACTTTTTGGCAGTATTTAATAAAACCAGTATGCCCTATGACTAATTCTAACCTTACATATATTTCTTTTGGAACGAGTACATAAGTCTGTCAAAAGACATGCGCCCAAATGTTCATAGCTGTTTTCAGAATACCCTCGAACTGTAAACCACCCCAAAACATAAACTGTAGTATAGTAATGCAATGGAGTACTAATCAACGATGAAAGTTAGTAGTGTGTGTGAGTGTTTCCCTTTCTCCTGCTGCTGCTGCTCAGGAATAATCAAGATCAGTTTTTTAAGACTAGGGGGAAAGGAAAGGGAATTAGCAGAGAGATGGAAAAGAACGCTGCATTCTGAAGCCAGACACGCTGCAATTAGACAAAACAACAAAAATTATAGACACAAAAGATAATTTTCAACAGAAAATGAGAAATATGTTTCTATTAAACAATATATTGTACTATAGTGTATATAGAAAAACTGTTTTAGCCTTGGGATGTTAACCTTTTTAAAAAAGCAGCAGATAGTAAGAGAATAGTTTCCCAAGTAGTCACATAGACATTTGTCTTCCAAAGTAGATAAATCTAATTAATTCAGAATAATTTTTCTTCAGAAATGTTTGAGTCATCAAACTTAGATAACTATAAATCCAAGATTACAGCGTTTGAAACCAGGAAATTAACCAGGCTGAATAATTATTATTAAGAGTTAATTTCTACAAGTATGTACTGGCAATTTTCCTTTATCTCGGACCCCTAGTTTCCATAACTGCCAGGCCCAGGGTGGAGGAGTGGGCGTGCTGGGACGAGATAGGAGCGGTGGTACCAGTACCCAAGAGAGCCGACGCCGATTTCCTTCTCTAGGAGCCCCTGCCCCGCCCTGAGGTGAGGCAGGTCGTTGGGGTCGGGTGGACGCGTGGACGCGTAGCCCCGCCCCGTCCCGTTTCGCCCCGCCCCCACAACGGCGGGCCGCCGCGTCTCTATGGAAACGGCCACACTAATGCGCAGCCAGTACCACGATGGCAGCCGGGGAGCCGGGGGATTTGGGCGGCTACTACTTCAGATTCCTGCCTCAGAAAACCTTCCAATCTTTGAGCACGCGGGAGACAACCAGCCGGCTCCGCCAGTGGTGAGAGGCCGAGGGGCAAGGAGAGAAGAGCCCCTTGGCCTTGGCGGCTGTGGAGACGTGGGTCAGGCGTCGAGGCCTCGCGGTTTGGATCGACCCCATCCTGAGTGAAACCCTGAGGCCGCAATAACACCTGCGCAGGGGCGGACTGGGTGGGTGGGACTGGCAGAATGTGTGTTCTCAGAGGGTGCCTGCCCACAGCTGACTTTCGTTTCTTCCTTTGCTCTAGGTCCATGCTGGGCAGAATCCAGGCGCAGGCATTCGGGTTTGACCAGAAGTTTCAGGCCTATCGGAAGGATGATTTCGTTATGGTTGGTATGGGGGTTGGAGAGTTCTGTGGACCTCCACTGATTTAAAAATTTTTTTCCCACTTCGGCATGTTGTATTAGGAACACTCCATAACTTAGTGACGACGTTTTCTTGGAGTTTGAGAATAACGAAAGGTGCAAATGATAAATTTTAAAAGGTACTTTTACATTTCCCATCATCATACATTAACTCATCTTCAGTATCCTGCCATAGAGATCTTTTTCAATTTTGGAAAATCAGTCTCTATTTTTAGTAGGCACACCTCATTTTTGTGTATTATTGCCTGGCTTTATTTACTAGGCTTACCTTCAAATTAATTTTGGTTTCTCGAAATCAAATCTACACTTGTAAGAACGTGCTCTTAACAGCAGTTCCAAATGAGGAATTCCAAAAGGAATAAGTCTTTCTTTAGCCACTAGAAGTGAGTGCTTTGAAAAGGGAAAAACTGGTGCATTCATTATAATTCAGTCACGTTATTTTAAATCCTGGGTTTTTTTCTCCTCAATCAAATGGAAAATACTGCTATGGTCTGTGATACTATCTTTGCCATCCTTGTCGTTAAGGCATTGACTTTAGTGTATAGTTGGCATAGTTTATTCACTTATTCACAAACACTTCCTGAGGGCCTACCATGTGCTAGGAACTCTGTCAGAATGTGCTGGGGATACAAGACGGAACAAGATAGACAGGAGCCTGGCTTTCAGGGATCTTAAAGGCCTGTGGCAAGACTGCCAATAAACAAAAAAGTCAGATCGTCTCATAGAGTGATAGGTGCAGTGAAAGAAATAATAATCTAATTAATACACCAAAATATTTACCATGAGTGTATATTAGTTTCCCGGGGCTGCTGTGGTAAAGTATTGCAAACTGGGTGGCTTAAAACAACATAAATGTATTATCTCACAGTTTTGGAAGCTAGAAGTCCAAAATCAAGGTGTAGGCAGGATTATGCTCCCTCTGAAATCTGTAGCTTCTACTGGTTGCCTTGGCATTCCTTGGGTTGCAGCTGCAGAACTTTAATCTCGTTCCCTGTCACTTAGCCCTCTCCCTTCATGTGTCTCTGTCTGTGTCTCCTCTTTTTATAAGAACACTGGTCATGTTGAATTAAGGGCCCACCCTACTCCAATAGAACATCATATTAACTAATTACATCTGCAGTAACTCCGTTTCCAACTAAGGTCACTTTCTGAGGTTCCAGGAAGGACATGAATTTTGATGGGCACACTGTTTGGCCCTTAAGGAAGGGTAAATTGGTTAAATGTCTATTTCCCTTTCCCTAAGATAGTGTTATAACATTAATATAATGCTATTATGCTACCTATGATGACATTAATAACATTTCTCAAATATTCCTGGTTAGATTTTTATATTTTTTATATTAGTACTGGCTCTCAGTAATTTTTTTAAAAAAGGTTTAGGATTTAATTCGCCAAATTTTAGACTGCTGTAAAATTTTTAACATAAGTCACTCAAATATTTGTTGAATACTTACTATGTTACTGCTGAGGCATGTTTAAAAGATAAAATGCTCTAATCCCAGCTTGCAAGGCACATACAGTGTTAGAAGTTAGAAATATAAAAAGTTCTCTACGACACAAAATAATTACTATAGTGGAGGATATATCAGGTGCCCTAGGCACAGAGAAAAATATCACCAATGGAGGGGCATTGGTGTCCAGACAGATTTCATAGGGGAGGGTGTAGAATTTATTTAGATTGTTGAATAGACACAGAATTCTTCATTATAGTCAAGAGTCATCCATAAAGTACAACAGGTTTCCTTAATACCAGCAATTTTTTTTCTAATTTTCAAAATATTCATTTTATTTATCCTAATTTTTTTCCCATGAGGTAGACAGTGTTATTCCCATATTTCAGGTCAAAGAAATGTACCCTTACAATTTTTGTTTTTCCCCACATAACTAATTTGAGGGAAATAAAGCATTGTGGCTAAGAGCATATCCTAGAAGGAGGTTTACGTTGAAGATGATGAGTCTTTATAGGACTCCTCACTGGCTCAAGCTCCTCACTTGCAAAAACCACTTCAAGGAACTGAGAGATTCTAGCAGTATGGTATGATGGCCATATATTTTTTGAAAATTTCCAAAAATAGATGTTTTTGTTTTCTTAGTACCACTACAATTATATAAGCTTAAGGCCCTATAAAACCTGAATCCTCCCCTGATTTGTCCTCTCATTAGCTATGTGTTCAAATTCCAACTCTGCTACTTACAAACTGCATGACATGGGGCAAGGTACTTAACCTTCCTCAGCCTCTGTTTGCTCTTCTGCAGAAGGATCATGTGCTTAACACATAACTTTTTGAATATGAAAATAATGCTGAATATATGATGCAATTGTTATAACAATTAACAGAAATTATATATATATAAAATATTTCACAATATGACTGGCTCACATAAGTTCTATTGTAAACATTTTTATACTATTTTTCAAAGTGCTTTTCTATAGCAATAGTGGCTCATGTGTGCCAGATTTAGCTTTCATCACTTTTTATACATTTGTCACTTATCTTTACAGCAATCTGATGAGTTTGGTGTTGATCCCCATATTATAGCTAGGTAAACTGAAGCTGAGAATGGTTTAATAATTTATGCAAGAATTCAAAGCAAATAGTGGAATCCAGGCCTTCTGATTTAACTTCCATGTCATTTCTACTACAGAAACTCATAACCGAACAAAGGATATTGTTTAAACTAGAATTCCAGATTTTGGGTTTCCCTTTGAATTTAAAAACAAATTATGTTCCGACGTTCATTTGTGTGGTAGTAAATGGATGGAAAGAAGGAAGGGAACATTCATCCGACAAACTTCTTTAGTTCCTAGGTCTGTACGGATGAACAAGACACAGTTAAGAAAAGGGAAAGACACCAAAAATTTCATTGTAGAGTGAGAAACTATACATAACATATGTGCAAGCTACTGTGGTGGCACAAAAGAGAAAGTAATTTGTTTTTGACTGAGGCAATCAGATGAAAGTTTATAAAAAAAAGTCACTTGCACTAGGCCTTGAAAGATGAGAAGTTTATCAGGTAGACAAAATAGGTAGATAATGTTAGATGAGTGATAGAATGATACTTTAGAAGGCCTTTTGTGCCATGCAAAGGAGTTTGAGCTTTGTCTAGCTAATGGGGACTCACTGAAAGCTTTTCAGCTGGATAATAAAATATAAAATCAGTGTGGCAGAAGTGTGGAGAGTGGATTGTTAGCACTGAGTCTAGAAGCAGTAAGACCAAATTGGAAACTTGTTCTCGAAACAGTATATGGTGATTTCCTGGATTAAGACAGTAGCAGCAGAATGGCCCGAAGAGATGTTTAGGAGAAAGGCAATACTCTAGGACTGATAAGATATTGAGAGTAAAACAGAGGGGAATATGTAGGATAACCAAGTTTCTGATGTGGTTGACTAGAGTGACATGATGCTGTCAAATGCATAGAAAATGCAAATGAATAAATTAAATGAGTTCAATTTTAGGCATGTTAAATTTGAGGTGTGTCCAAGCGGCAATATCCTACATAGTTGAATAAAAGATCTCACTTTGAGTCTCAAGAGAGAGCTCTGGGCTCAGTATGTAATGTTGGCATCCTCATCTTGGGACTAGGGATAATGAGGGGAATCTGCCACATAAACTATAAGGAAACATCTTAATTTGCAGAGGTCTAACAACACTTCTAATTACATTTCACAACCAGACTGGTTATATCTCATGGCCACATACCACAGAGACTGGAAAGTGCAGACTTTTAGCTGAGCATATTGCTGTCCCAAATAAAATTGGGATCCCTTAAAGGAGAGAATTGATATTGGATCAGAAGTGAGCAGTGTGCCATATAGATGATATAGTCAAATACCTACTTATATTTCATATGTGTGGCATATAGTAGATATACATTAAAAATTATATATAAAAAGCATATTAATTTAGAAATGCTTAAAAAAAGAGAAATACTTTTCCACTCTCACATTTTATGAAACAAGTTTATTCAAATCTCCACATGCATTTTGACATCAGTATCTTTGTTATCACTGTAATTAGTTTATGAATCATTAATGTTTTTCCAGAGCATATTAACTTAGTTATTTGAGATAACAGGGAAACCCTTCTATGCCTCACTGGAAATTCTATAACAAACCCCAAATACTATTTGCATTAGAGTAGGGTTTTTTCCTTTCTAATTCATTCTTGAGGTGTATAATTGTAATGTTGATAACAGCTATCATATTGCTTTATTTAAGGGCCTCTATGAAGACATTTTCACTGGCTCCAGGTCAACTCACTGCAGGCCACTTAGCCTACTTCCATTTATAATGACATCTAAATGTAATTGTAAATTGATATCACCCAGAAATAATTACTAAATCTGAATTAAATTTCCCCTTTCACTGATTCATTCAGAAGACCTCTAAAAAGCATTCAAAACAAGTATTGACTGAGGTTAATTCCAGCTCATATTTCTTTTCACCCCTCAAAATGTATATTACATAAACTAAAATAGTTGCACGAACACTAGTTTAAAAGACTTTGTAAAGTTATAAGGTAACTTCCTTTTTTCCTGAGGAATAATTTGAGGAAAAGCTACTTTTTTGTAATTGAGTTTGTATGAACCTCTAACATGTTTACCTTTATCCTCCACCACTAGAATGTAAACTCCATGGGAACAGGGATTTTGTCCTGCTTGGCATAGTGTAGACATTCACAAATACTTGTTGAATGTATTATCTTTATATCATACACCTCGTCTTCTTCCCAGCCGCCCCACCTGCCTTCCCACCCACCTCCCCGCACCACAGCAGGAAGTGAGCAGCTGTCAAGCGAGCCAAACTTCTGTATTTGCAGCTGCTCCCCAACACTAACATCACCTCCTCAGCTCCAGCTCAGATCATCAGACACTAGCTACTCATAGGATCACCGGTCTCTAGTGCCAAAAAGGTTGAAGTCTGTACTAAATGATATTCATTCTTCCTGGTTTTTCATGCAAAAATGCTAGGAGTCATCTTTGATTCCTTCTTCTCCCTTTGTCCCTTCCACCTAAATATTAACTGAAATCCATCCACCTTCCTACCTCCCTACTTTCTATCAGCTTGACTGATGTGAATAGCAGATCATCTTGCATTATAACAGCCCCACTCCCTCCTAACCAGTCTATATAGCCTTTCAACTCATTCTCTACACCTAAGCTAAAATGAACCTTTAAAAATAAGACTCTAACCACTTTTCCTCCATTTAAATCCTTTCAGTGTCTTCTCACTGCCCTTAGGTCAAAATACTGATCAATCTAGAGCGATCTTAGATCAAGATTAAAAATTTTGACTTAACCTACAAGGTCTAGTTTAACTCCCCAACCTCATCTGACCATTGTTGAACCTCTTTATTTTCCTTGACTAGGATGCCCCATCTTTTCTTACCTTGCAGACCTTAAACTTGCTATTTTCTCCTCAAATAATAGTCTTTCCAGTGTTATGCAAGAACTACATTAGGATAGCATGTTGGCTAAATTTTCAGGAATCTTTGTTTGCTGGTTTCTAAACTATTGGCAGCTTAAAAATCTACCATGGAAATCAGTTGCTACAAATGAGCACTTTTTTGGGAGGGAGGGCTATCAGTTGTTAAACATTTACCAGTATATACTCATTTTACATATCTAAACTAAATGTTCTTTCTGCATTAACTTCTCAACACCATTATGTTAGGTCTGCCTACTATGTACTTCTATAGCACCCTATACTTTATAATTCTCACGGCATGTTAGTTAATATCTCCCCTTTTAGAGAGGGAGACTGAAAACTCCATGAAGTTAGAGACTGTCTTTTTGATTTTGGAATTAGGAAGTGAAGTGTACTTTTAGTTGAGGGATGGGAGCCTGAGCCAGATACAGAATAACTGGTAGACAAAGAAGTGAAAACGATTCCTCTTTCACGAAGCTGTTTAGGAAAAGAGTGATAGCTTAAAGGGAATGTTGAAATACGAGAATACTTATTGTAACAGTCTAAACAACACATAACACTTCATAGAATTGACAATCTTTCTCTATCCCAACGCTACTCCCTACTTTTTCCACCCGCTTTTCTCACAAGCCTACAGCTACCACTTCTGAGGTAACTGGTTTTTTTGTTTTAATGGTTTGGTATATATTCTTCCATATTTTTCTTTATATAAATAGAGGCTTTATTTTGCTTTGTTTTATCATACATATTACTCTTACTATTTTTCCACTCAAAATGCTTATGGTTTTCTTTCAAAGTCAGTACAGCAGATGTTTACTGAGTAACTGCTGTATGCCAGACCCTGTTCTAGGCCCTGGATATATAGCAATTAGGAAGAAAAACAAGGCCTCTACTCCTGTGGAGTCTACATTCTTTTCTAATATGGACTTTCTTTTCAATAACTGCATACTACTAATGGAGATATACTGCATTTTATTCAACCTTTCTTCTACTGATGGACAGTGAAGTTGTTTCTGGGTTTTGACACTACAAACAATATTATAAAAAATATCCTTATATGTAAATCTACTGGTGATTTCATTTCTGCAGGAGACATACCCAAAAGTGGAATTTGTTGGATCATAAGATATGCATGTCTTTAATGTTCAAGATAATATCCAATTACTTCACAAAGGTTATAAAGATCCACATTTCCACCAGTGTGAGAGTGCATATTTTCCAGTATTTTTACCAAAAGTTACTAGCCTTTAAATCTTGCCAATGTAATGGGTGGGTAAAAGTGATATCTTCTAGTTTTTATTTTCATTTCTCTCACTGCTCTTGAAGTTGAGTATCTTTTCATAAGTTTATTGGCTATGTGACATTTTATATCATTTGACCATTTTTAAATCATGTTTTATCTTAATTATTGGGGATGTCAGCCCTCCTTTTTAATAAAAAAAATTATATTTGTTGCAAATATTTCCTCCTAATCTATTGGTTTTTTTATTGCTCATTATTATCATTATTATTATTTTGACTGCCTGGCACCTTTTGAACATATATGTGATTTGGGGTAATTTTATATTTAGGAAGTTCAAAGTGGAACCCAAAACACTTGCCTCTTGTGCACTAGAAGCACAAACCTGAGATCTAGAATTACCAATCAGACATATCAGTGCAAGACTGAGATTTCAAAGCAAGCAACTTAAGAAAAGAGGTGTACAGAGAATCCATTTCACTGGCAAGGTGGTGCAGAGGTGTCCGGCTTTCAGGAAGGGCAGTCCTGTCGCAGCAGTAGCCTTGGTGAGGAAAAGATAACGGTAGCTTCCTTTGGTGTTTGATGATGTTTGGTGTTTGAGGCTATTTCCTCATCAGGGCAGTTCTTCATATTATTTTGGGTTGTTCACAGAGCCCAGCCGTTAGCCCGATTCTCTCCACCTCTTGGAAACTATGTGGACTGCCGAGATACTTTTAATAAATTTCCCTTCTGATCTTTTGAGTCAGAGTAGCGGCTTGTGCTTGGGACTAAAACTCTTGACTACTTTATTTTGCCATAGAGAAAATTTTCATTCTTAGGAAGTCAGATCTATTGCTTTTCTATGGTGCTCCTTGGATAGAATTAAATTGGTGATTACTTTTAGATTTAGATCTTGTTGGGGGTGGGAATAGTGATTACTAAGACAATTGGGAAAACAAGATTGAAGGAAAACAAAATTTTCAAACATTATATAAACTACTTTTCACTGTAAATCATTATATTTATTAAATTGTCAAAGATATGTGTACTTTAACAAACAGTGTTGTTAATACTGTTCCATCTTGAAGGTAACAAAACGTCATATCTTTATAAAGCATTCATGTCTTAGATATAGTACCAATTTAAAATTGTCCTTCTCCAATTGAGTGAAATGAGATTTTACTATAGTTTTTTTTAGAAGTTAATTCTTATTGTTTGTAATAAAGTATCTAACTTATTCCCCTCGAATTTATATTTTAGGCTTTTTTCAAAGACCCAAATGTTATTCCCAATTTGAAGTTAATTTCAGATTCTTCTGGACAGTGGATTACATTAGGTAAATAAAATTTATTTTTATCTTTTTAGATGACTATTTTACTATTATAACAAAATTTTGCCTCAGGAATTTTTATTAAAATACAGATTATGAATAATGACTCATTTGTTTGATAACATCAAGGTCAAGTATGATCAGCTGTGCCAGGGAATCTTTCTCCCAGGAGTCTACTTCTACTAACCTAGCTTAGCACAAAAATGTAATTTTTCTCTCTTTTCATTAATTTGGAAAGTATTTATTGTGCACCTTCCATGGACTCTGCCAGATGCAGGGGAACATTAAAGTGAATAAGAGAAAACCCGAACTCAAGGAACTTTATATATATATTATATATATAATTTTATATATATCTAAATATATAGATATATATAGATATATTATATATATAATTTTATATATATCTTTATATATAGATATATATATAATA